AGGACCACCTCCAATCACCTCCTGCCTCCCCACCACCAGGACCACCTCCAAGCACCTCCTGCCTCCCCCTTGTTGCAGGAACTTCCGGTCGGTGGTGGCGGTGCTGGGGGCACATGACCTGGGGCAACGTGAGCCCACCAGGCAAACATTCGCCATCCAGCGGGTCTTTGAAAACGGCTTCAACCCCCAGAGGCTGCTGAACGACATCGTGATCCTCCAGGTGCGGAGCTGGGCAGGCCAGGCTGGGGATGCCCAAGAGGGGACCCGGCAGGTGCAGGGGCCCAGGGGCAGGACGCCTGGGGAGGGGACCAGAGACTGGGGGACATGGTGGGGCCCCAGCTTTAAGTGGGTACACGACCCCGTTGTGCCTCAGTCTCCACCTCTGTAACAGGGGGAAATAAACCCCGCCTGGCAGGGCTGTTGAGAAATTAAATGAGATGGGGCGCCTGGGTGGCTCAGATGGTTGAGTGTCTGCCTTCGGCTCGGGTCATGATCCCAGGGTCCTGGGATCGAGTCCCGCATCGGGCTCTCTGCTCCTTGGGAGCCTGCTTCTCCCTCTGACCCTCTCCCCTCTCATGCTGTTTCTCTCTCGCTCGCTCTCTAAAAAATAAATAAAATCTTTAAAAAAAAAAAAAGAAATTAAATGAGATGATACGGGAAGCTCTGAGCCGTTGTCAATCAACAAACTGTTGTTATTTGTGTGGCCGAGCACAGGGACAGTTCCTGTCTTTGTGAAATGGGGCCAAATTCCCCCCATTCAGCTGGTGGGAGATGTAAGGGTGAAACCCTCCCTTCCCCACTGCTTGCAAAGTTATGATTAGTCTCTGGGAATGTTCTAGAACAAGGGTTTTATTGTCATTGCTGTTGCCCACAGTGTGTTATATTGAGTACCCACTGTTTACTGCATTCAAGGCATGTCCAGAGATGCTCTGAGCCACTATGGTTGCTCCCACTGTAGAGATGGGGAAACTGAGGCTCAGGGCAAGGAGCACCTTGCAGGGTGGGTGTCCTGCTCCATAATACCTCAGCTGGGGAAACTGAGGCCCGGGGAGGGGAGGGTCATGGCCCACCACCCCCTGTGACACTCTGATGCTCTGTCCCGCCCACCGCAGCTCAACGGGTCAGCCACCATCAACAGGAACGTGCAGGTGGCCAGGCTGCCTGCCCAGAATCAAGGTGTGGGCAGTGGGGTACGGTGCCTGGCCATGGGCTGGGGCCAGCTGGGCACGACCCGGCCACCGCCCAGGATCCTGCAGGAGCTCAACGTGACCGTGGTGACCATCCTCTGCCGCCGAGCCAACGTGTGCACACTAGTGCCCCGCCGGCGGGCTGGCATCTGCTTTGTGCGTACCCCCAGCCCCCCGAGGCCCCACCCCGCTCCCGCCTGGGCTGCAGCCAGAGTCCTGGAAGCCCAGCCTCCCAACCCCGTCTGTCTCCACAGGGGGACTCTGGCGGGCCGCTGGTCTGCAACGGGCTGGTCCAGGGCATTGACTCGTTCATCCGCGGAAGCTGCGGCTCTGGGTTCTACCCAGACGCCTTTGCTCCAGTCGCACAGTTCGCAGACTGGATCAACTCCATCATCCGCCGCGGCCACGACCGCCCCTCCCTCCACCCGCGGGACCCGGCCAGCAGGACCGGCTAGGAAGAGCTGCCCCTGGCCCGGCCCTGCCCGCACTGCATCCTTCGCATCTCACACAATAAAAACCCTCTCTGTTTTGTACGAACGTGTCCGGGTGTTTGGTGGTTGTTCAGCTGGGTATTGAACGTAGTCAGCAAAGTGTCTGGGGCATCTCATGAGTATGTTGTCACCAAAGAGCGGCCAATTCAGGGCATTGGGGTAAGAAGGCCCTTCCCCCCCCTCCACGAAAGGATGCCTGTTGCCATTCGGGTTCCCAGCGGATGACATTAGTGCTGCTGGCGGTGAGGGTACAGACTGGATCCGCTGCTCACTGAGGGCCCCACGGTACAGGACCTGCGCTGGCTCCTTGCCCCATTCACTCCGCTGGCCCTCTCTCCGGCCCTTGAGGCGGGTCCCATCAGTGCCCCATTTTACAGGTGAAGAAGTGGGGGTGCAGACCGGTGTGAAGCCGTGCTCAGGAGCCTAGGTTTGAGCCCCAGCTCTGTGACTTTGGGCAACTTGCTCTCTTGCCCTCCCTGAGCCTCTGTGTCCCTGCAGGGAGGGGAGGGGTCCAGGCCCCAGACCGGCCTGGGCCTCGTGACCCCTCCCCCACTCCTGCTGGGGATCACCAGCCTGGGCTCTCCTGCAGGGTTCTGGCCTTTGGTGCTCCCTCTGCCTGCTGGGCTGCTGCCCGGCGGCTCCCCTCACCACACCTCCTCCCAGGTCCTGGCTGCTAAGAAGGTGTCTGCCCTGCAATTGCCCTTTCAACGGAACACTATACTATACCCTAGAGGTCTTTCCACGCCAACACAGCATCTGGGGGTATCCAGGGTTATTTACTGAACCGTCCTATCTTGCTGAATCATTCCCAAATTTTGTTGCAATTCCCAACTCTTACATAATCTGGACTTCATACCCTAATGGGTTTTTGTTTGAAGTTCCTGATTTCAATAAGGAAACATGTTAGAATCTAACAAATCACACTGGTTATATTTTTTTTCTATTCTTCTCTGCGTATGAAATAGTCCACAGTGAAGAGGAAAGAAGTAGAAGGGAAAATATTGTGCAGTGTGTCCCCTGGAGTCCACCCCACCCTTGTGGTCCCAGCACTGCCCCCACCGTGGGTTCATGAGATGTTGATCCATGATCCCCATCTTATAAAGGGCCATGTAACCCACCTTGTGCTCATCAGAACCTGACATCCCTTGCTCACGGTGATTGGTTTGGGAGGGGACATGCGATCGAAGCTAAGCTAATCAGACACAGCCTTGAGAAGCTGGCTGGAATGAAGGGGGATTCTGGGGAAGGGCCCACTGAGCCACTGGGCTGAGTCTGGGGCCTCTGGGCCCACAACAGGGGAGCCTGGTGAGGAGAAAAGCCACCAAGGAGGAGAGGAGAAACCAGAGACAGAGAAACCTGATATTGTTCAGGCCCCTGGATCAAGCCACACCTGAAGGGAGACCCTGAAATTTCCATTTAAATTTCCTTGTTGAAAACTCCACCGAGTTCAACTTGATTTTTCTTTTTCTTTTTAAAAAAGATTTTATTTATTTATTTGAGAGAGAGAGAGAGAGTCCGAGCAGGGGGAAAGGCAGAGGGAGAGGGAGAAGCAGACTCCCCACTGAGCAGGGAGCCCGACGCTGGGCTCGATCCCAGGACCCTGGGATCATGAGCTGAGCCGAAGGCAGATGCTTCACCAACTGAGCCCCCCAGGCGCCCCTCAAGTTGGTTTTTCTGTCTTCCCAGCTGCCCCTACACACCACCTTTCTAATACTCTACCTGCTGGGGTATCAGGCCCCAGAGCCACGGAGGACAAGAACCTCAGGTGACCTTCTTCCCACCCCCACCCAACTTCTTGGGGGAGGAAGAGAAAGGAGGGAAGGGCAGAAAAACGAGGAAGTTGGTTGTTTACAAGCTGTAGCCTCCAGGTCCTGTTGCAAAACTTTGGGGCTGGAAGGGCACTCTGGGGAGACTGGGCTGGCAGGGTAGGGTGCTGAAGGGTAGGTCGTCCTGTTCTGCTTTCTGCCCGTCCTGAGGGTACTGCCACACGAGGGCCAGTCCTGGATCAGGCACCTCCAACCGCCTGTGTGGTCTTGGTGCGGAGCCGTGAGGGAGCTTAAGCTGGGCGCCGAGGAGGGTGGAGGCGGCGCAGGCAGGTTTCGCTTTCCCCAGCTGGACTGCTGCCCACCCAACAGATAGGGCCTGCGGGGAACCGCCCCCAGCCAGGCTCGTACAAGTGCCCCCCAGGCTCCAGCCACACCACAGCAACATGGCAGACCGTCTGGTGCATCTTGTCACTCTGGTCCTCCTAGGAGCAGCCGCATGTGGTGAGTGGACCTGGGACGAAGGGACAGTGGGAGCCACCAGTCTGGGGGGCAGTCAGCCCTCCCCCCCCACCCCCCGGCTCCACTAGGTGGGCAGGAAGGGGGACAGGATCCACGTGCATGGAAGGCTCTGAAAGTCTAGGAATTTTCAGAACTTCGAATGTGAGACCTGAGCTTTCCCCACAGTGAGGATCCGCAGCTGCGCGGGGCAGGACTGGCGGCCAGCGAAGCCAGCGCCGGCTGGACCGCAGCCCCCCGTGGCTCCCGTTTGCCTTGAAGCTGTTAGGCGCAGTGTGTAGGCCGGATTTGCCCCAGACCCCACCACTCCCCATCATTCTGTCCGCTGGCTGTGCTCCCTGGCCCCTGCGCAGTTCGCCCCTCTGGTGGGTAGAATGCCAGGCCTGAGCGGGCTGCAGTGGCCAGGGTGCAGGAGGGAGGTGTGCGGGCTCGCCTCTGGCCAGCGCTGAAGCGCTCATGCCCACCTGCCCATCCCCAGCGGCGCAGCCTCGCGGGCGGATCCTGGGCGGCCGCGAGGCCGTGTCCCACGCGCGGCCCTACATGGCGTCGGTGCAGGTGAACGGCAAGCACGTGTGCGGCGGCTTCCTGGTGTCCGAGCAGTGGGTGCTGAGCGCAGCGCACTGCCTGGAGGACGCGTGAGTGGCCTGGAGAGAGGCGGAGCAAAGAGCGCGGGAGGCGGTTTGGCTGGGGTGGGGACGTGGCTCTGATGTGGACCCCACTCCCAGGGCGGACGGGAAGGTGCAGGTGCTCCTGGGCGCACACTCCCTGTCGCAGCCGGAGCCCTCCAAGCGCCTGTACGACGTGCTCCGCGCAGTGCCCCACCCAGACAGCCGGCCCGACACAATCGACCACGACCTCCTCCTGCTGAAGGTCAGCCAAGTCCAGCCGCAACCCCTCCTGCCGCACGCACCCCCGCCCATCCCCGCCCTGACGCTCGCTTCCGCCCCATCCCGCAGCTGTCAGATAAGGCCGAGCTGGGTCCCGCCGTGCAGCCCCTGGCCTGGCAGCGCGAGGACCGCGACGTGGCGGCCGGCACGCTCTGCGACGTGGCCGGCTGGGGTGTGGTCACCCACGCGGGCCGCCGGCCGGACCGCCTGCAGCACCTGCTCCTGCGGGTGATCGACCGCGCCACCTGCAACCTGCGCACGTACCACGACGGCACCATCACCGAGCGCATGATGTGCGGGGAGAGCAACCGCCGGGACACCTGCAAGGTGCGCCGGGAGCGCGGGGCCATCGAGGGGGCGGGGCGTGCGGCGAGGAGGGCCCGGGGGCGGGGCTGGACCGAGGTCCGGACTGCTGGGGAGGAGAGGGAGGGCTACTGGCGGAGAGAGCCGGGCGCGGGGTCGGGGGCGCGGGGCGCGACGCAGCGCTCACGGCCCGCCCCCACAGGGCGACTCCGGGGGCCCACTGGTGTGCGGCGGCGTGGCCGAAGCCGTGGTCACTTCGGGCTCGCGCGTGTGCGGCAACCGCAAGAAGCCCGGCATCTACACGCGCGTGGCGAGCTACGCGGCCTGGATCGACGGTGTGCTGGCCGAGGGCGCGGCCGCCTGAGGAGGCCCCGGGGGGCGGCGGTCACAGGGGTCGAGCAATAAAAGTCCTGTCCTGCAAGCGCCCCGCCTGCACTGAGCACGCGCCGCCGGCCGCGGGGGACGGGGACCCGAGGGCGGCGAGGACGCGGCTCCACGCTTCGGCCGCAGGGGGGCGCCCCGACTCTTCCACCCGGGGTGGGGGAGGGGCTTACGTCCCAGGTGCCCCTTCCGCTCCCGCCGACGTCCGGCCCTCTGTCCGGCCTCCCAAGCGGGGCGGGAGGGCCCACTGTGTGCGAGGCCCTGCTCTGGGCTGAGCTTTAGGTACACAGACCCTCTGAAGTCAGTCGTGTTCTTGGGACCCATGTCCCACATCGGGAAACTGAGGCTCAGAGGCTTCGTGACTCCCCTGAGATCCGAGGAAGCTCCCGGCAAAGCCTGGATCCGACCCCAGAACCACAGCACCTGCGCTCGTGGTCATCGCCAGGTGCTCCGAGGTTCACAGAGTAAGTTAGGTGGATGGGTGTCCCAGAGCAGCCATACTGACGGGCGCCCTGGGCCTCAGTTTACCCTTCTGGGCAACGACAAGGAGGTCGGAGGGCAGAACCCAGGCCCTGAGGCCCTTTGCCATCTCCTACCTGGATGAGGAGCCACTGAGACCCAGCACCCGCTAGGCCCCGGGTGTCCAGCTTGACCCACAGAGGGGTTCATGACTTCCCTTTTGTTGAAAAGGAGACTGAGGGTCTGAGAGGTGAAGTCATGGGCCCCACTGGGGGTTGGAGAATTGGGACTGGAACCTGTGGCCATGTTTTACTTTCCTACTACAGGATGTTCACCTTGGAGTCATACACTCATTCGTACACAAGCGCTTACTGAGCACCTACTGTGTGCTCAGCCCTGCTCGTAATAACTTAGTCCAGTCTTCCTCACGGCGTGGCTGCAGGGGCTCCAGAATGAGGGGACCCAGACCCCACCTCTTGACGGGAGTCATGTTCACGTCATAAAACCACAACTTAACCTTAAACCCGTGATGTGAGTGCAGAACGGACCCGTTGTTCTAAAACAAGTAACCAGCTTAAAAGGTAGGACTTGAGAGAGACAATGGCTAAAGAGGACGGGGCCCAGTGAAGGGTGTGGAGGGCCAAGCAGAAGCATGAGGTTCATGAGCCCTGAACCTCAACCACGCAGACGGCACAGCAGTGGGGGCTGGGCACCATCCGGGGGGAAGGACCCCATGGAGCTCGCCTCCAGGGAGAAGAGCTGTCTTCCCTGCTCCCCAAAACTGTCCCCGACTCTGCCCTACATGTGAGGTAGACTAAAAATCTGCCCATCTTCCCCCACTGGCTCACGGATGGCTCTGTCCATCAGCAGTGCCCACTCACCCAGGTACGCCTCGACCAGGGGAGGCTGCCCTTGGGGTCCCCGTGTCACTAAAGGGAGACCAGGCAGTGGTGACCAGCAGGGTGGGAGGCAAGGCGGGCAGCAGGAGCCCGCCAACTCAGTCAAGGGCCGGCTCCCCACCTCCACGCCTGCCCCCAGTGCTGGCCCGCAAATGCCAAGTCCCCGCAGAAAGCGTCAGCTCCAACAGCAGGCCCTCCTGGGCAACACGGGCCCAGCCAGGTAATGGGGCTCACAGAGCTCCCCCCCCAGCGCACGCGCAGCATTTACCTCCTGGGGGCATCCACCTGGCCTGCCCTCCCTGAGCCTTCCAGCAGGAAAACAAGAGAATCAATTAGCGCTCCACAGGCAGGGCATGCTGTCTGGAGGCCTGGGGAGCAGGACATAATTGGGAAAAGTGCTTGTTGGCAGAAGGCGGAACCCCTGGGGGGACCAGGCCTGAGCTTCCAGAAACCCAGGGGCCTCGGTGTGGGGGGGGCGGGGGG